CTGCTCTATTGCTACTACCATGGAAAGTGCTCGAACAAACTACATTTCTTGGTTCCGCCCGGCCTTCATGACTAGGATTCGCCTTGTCACTTACAGTGTAGCAAGTCACCAACATTCCCTCCATATTTCATCAGCGAGAAGTAAGTTCCACTCAAACAGCTTCTTCCCGTGAACCACTGCCCTGTGGAACAGACTCCCAAGATGTTGCTTCCCCAATCACTACAATCTTAACCTGTTAACCGTTATTTCTCCCCTATCCATATAAACTACCGATTAACTTAGCCTTCTACCTCGAATGGCTCCCGGGCCATGTACAGGGTGAAAAAAAAACTCTAAAATAATAATAATAATATTAATAATAATAGTGATGTCCTCTATTTTTTTTATTGTCAAGACTTTCTGTCGTCTCGATTGTAATCATTCCTTCTCGTGGGAGAAGAGTTACATTCCACCTTCCAACCTCTCTCTCTCTCTCTCACAGGCAGGATGTGGCGAGTCTCTCACTGCTCTATCGCTACTACCATGGAAAGTGCTCGGACATTGTAGTAAGCTACTCATACTTCTTCCGTATTCCATCGGCGAAAAGTAAATCAAACAGGTTCTTCTCGTGAACCACTACCCTATGGAAGATACTCCCTACGGGATGTTTCCCTAATCATTACAATAACCTGGTCAAGTTGGAATTGGAACTCAGCTCTCTAAAAGGCCAGGGCATGTACTCTAATTGTCTATAAGAATTCATTCTACATTTATTGTACTTTACTCATTGCTATGTTTATATGTACCTGTACTCATTGATACAAATGTATCTGTATTTCTTTTATGGTTTAGAAAATTTTATTTAGTTTCCTTTTAAGGTTAAAGTTACAATATAGGATTCCATACTTTATTACAGTCGACTGTCACAATTTTGTCAGCAGAAAATCATACATTATCCCTTATACAATCACTTTAAAATATATTCCAATAAATATATGATGAACATTTTCCACAGCTCCAACGTCTCTCTCCCAGACAGGATGGAAGAAGTCTCTCTCTGTTCTATCGCTACTAACATGGAAAGTGCTTGGATGAACTGCATCTCCTGGTTTGACTAGGTTAGACTTTCATGGCTAGGGCCAGTCATGTTACTTACATAGTAGCAAACCACCACCATTCCCTACGTATTCCATCAGCAAGAAGTAAGTTCCACTCAAACAGTTTCTTCCCGGGAAACACTGCCCTGTGGAACAGACTCCCCAGAGGGTGTTTCCCGGATTATTACGATCTTAACCTGTTCAAGTTAACCATTATCTTCCGCTTCTAAACTACTCCTTAACGTAACCCTCTCTCTCAAGTGGCACAGGGCCTTGTACAGAGTGACCTTACTGTAAAAAAAAAAAAAAAAAAAGAGAGAAAATCTCACGAATTTTAATGTTTTAATCTGGTTGAAATATCAACGTTTTTTTTTTTCGTCTTGAGTTTGAAATCTGAATCCTCTATCTGCAACGCTGAAATGTAATCTTAGAGAGTTTTTATAACTTACCTGGCTCGTTCACCCAAGCCCTAACAGTCTGAAATATGAATAATAATAAATGGAGTAATAAAAAACGTAATATGTCCAGCACTAGAAAACCATCTCCCTATGCATCACCACCCTTATTGCAGCAGGTAAGGGAAGCGCAATGCCGATCATTGTTGCCTGAAGTATCTTATAAATAACGTGCAAAGATAGCAGTGTAAATCTTGTTTCTATTCCCATTCGCGTGTGGGTTGACATTTAAAAAAAAAACGGCTCTATGCCATATCTCTGCACGGGAAGCTGAAAATCGTAGAGGACCCGTTCTGTTAGATATTTCTCTCTTTATTCCTTTAGGTTTTGAAAACTTCTCGAGTAGGTTTTATACTTGAAATAAATTCGCTAAAACCAATCCAATGAAATTTATTGAAAATGACTTTTTATCTGCATTTGCCTTTTTGTTTTCAGGACGACTTCTATTCCGTGTTAATGTTACATAAATAAAGAGCTTTCGATTAAATGCGGATATTCATTCTTACGTTTACATCCCGATGCTTACTTTATGGAACAGACTCACGAAAGTATCTATAAACAGTTCTATCTATCTATCTATCTATCTATCTATCTATATATTATATATCTATAAGAATTAAATAATTATATCTATAATCTAGGCGTTTTCAAGTCTAGACTCAACCGTTGCCTGTCGCTCGTGTCATCATAATCTGCACATACTTTTCCTTTCTTCGTCCTAAGTGGTGGCACCCCCACCTTGAACCCATCATAAACATTCAAAGATTTTAAATGCAAAAAATAAATCAATCAAATCTAGCACAGGAAACTGAACATAGAATAGGCTGTTCTAAGTGAAGTGTCTCCTAACACTACAAAATGTTAAAAATAAAAAAAAAATGTGATGTCAGATGCATTCGCGTTGTCACTCTTGTGATGTCAACGAATGCTTGTTATCTCGTTAGTAATTCTCGTTGGAGTCGAGACTTTGGAATCGCGGATACTAGTGGTAACTCCTTCGACTAATACTCGTAATAGTAATATTGTTCGAATAGTAACCGTCAAATTGTAACACGTAGAGTGATCCCTATAGAGAAATAGTATAGAGGATAGTATAGAGAACTGTGATCACTTAGACGCCACGCTAATTCACATGTATACCTTTTACGATCACGTACTCTACTTATTAGAAATGGAATCGCCTGTGTTTGCTCACTGATGATCTGGGTTTAAACTCCAGTGTCGGTAAAGACATTTTATCCCTATACAACAAAAAACAAATTAACCTAAACATTCGAGTCATGTTTTTTAAATATACTCATCAGATCGAGTCTTTCATATGGATGGCAAGCATGCAACTTGTTCAGAAATATCTAAACCGCTGTATACAACCGCTTTATCAGAACAATGGGTATAAATGGCTTTTAGCGAATTAAACCTGTAGGTTTCAACGAAGGCCATCCTTCTTTAAAACTTGTGGACTGGCGCAACACAATCAAAACCAAAGAACTTTGTCATATAACAGAAACCACTTGAGAACATTCAAAAGCAGCAACGACTAAAATGGATATCACATGTAGCTAGAAGAGAAAATTATGACAATCAAGATGCTGACATTCCACACCACTTCAAACAAAAGGTTAGGAAGGAAACCCCATAAATACTTGAAAGAACGATAACAGCTACTTGACTTGAGAAATGTGTTTTTCTTGAAAAACCGTTTGAAAAAATAGATTTTGTAAGTTTCAGACGACAGTTGCACTGGCTGCTCGGTTAAAGAATGTCGAATGTTTCCTTATAAGGAAATGGCTAATATTAGCATTAGCATTAACACTGACCACATGCAACATGCTGCTGCGGATATTCTCAACGTGATTTGGGGAACTTACTTTCCTGAAAAATTGTTTGAAGAGAAAGATTTCCTAAATTTAAGACTATAGTAATATTGGGATGTCGGTCCATGAATAACGACTGTTTCCTTAGACGAAGAGAGTAGCTGAGGTAGGGTTTAGATCAAGGGAAAAAAAGAAAAGGATTAAGAAGAAGAAGTAGAAGAAGAAGAAGAACAACAACAACAACAACAATGAGAAGAAGAAAAGAAAGACAATAAGAAAGGGAAAAGAAAGAGGCAAAGAAAGAAAGGGAAGGAAAGAAGAAGGAGAAGAAGGCAGAAAAGAATTAGAATAAGAACGACAATGAAAAGACGAAGAACAAGAAGGATACGAAGAAGAAGAGGGGGGTATAACGACAACAATTAGAATAAGAAAAAGACAAGGAAAAGAAGAAGAAAAACAAGAAGGATACGAAAAGAAGAAGAAGACGGGGGAGAAGAATAAGACGACAAGAGAGGGAAGAAGAAGAAGAAGAAGAAGAAGAAGAAGAAGAAGAAGAAGAAGAAGAAGAAGAAGAAAACAACAACAACAACAGAGGGAGAAGAAGAAATGACAAGAAGGAGAAGACGAAGATAAGGACAAGGAGGGGGAACAAGAAGGACGCGAAAAAGAAGAAAAAAAAAACACGAAAAGAAGAGGGGGAATAGAACAAGAAAGAAGAAGAAGAAGAAGAAGAAGAAGAAGAAGAACAACAACAACAACAACAACAACAGCAAGGTCCATGAGAAGAAGAAAAGAAAGACAATGAGAAGGCGAACAAGAAGGAGAAGAGGCAGAAGATAAGGACAAGGAGTGGGGGAACAAGAAGGAGAAGAAGAAAGAAAAGAAAATAAAACGATAATGCGAAAAAGAAGAAAAAGAAAAACACGAAAAAGAAGAGGGGGAATAGAACAACGACAAGAAGAAGAAGAAGAAGAAGAAGAAGAAGAATAAAAACAATAACAACAACAACAACAGCCATGAAAAAAAAAAGAAAAGAAGGCGAACAAGAAAAAGACGAAAAAAGAAAAAGAAAACACGAAATAGAACAACGACAAGAATAGAACAACGAAGAAGAAGAAGAAGAAGAAGAAGAAGAAGAAGAAGAAGAAACGGCTAATATTTTAGGCCTTGTACTGGATGAAAATTTAGTAAAAACAATTTATATATAATTTGCTAAATTAATTTATAACCTATTACAAGCAGGTATCGAATATTTTTATGAGCTCTTGTCTCCGGTCTTAAAGATAAAAAAAAAAGAACTCAATTTATAGTCGTATTAATATTCTCAACATTTTAACTGGCCAACCAGGCTTTTTGCACATTACTAATAAGTGCAACTCAATTTGCAAAAGACGTGGGACAATTCCTGTTTAAGGGTTTGAAAAGAGAATGTGGGTGTTGTAAGCCGGGTGGTGTTCAGGATGAAACGGAACGGGTTGAGGAATCGGATGACAAAAGGCTGTATTCTAGATTTCACGGTCAGGGTAAGAGGAAGTCGGGAAGAGAGAAATAATAATGGCGTCGGTTCTTTTATTTCATAGTTGTCTTTTTTTAATGTTTTTTTTTCTTTCTTTCTAGTTTATTTTCTAGCGAGACAACGATGGCTTTAAAATCACTGTCGATGTAGGACAGGAGATTTTGAATGAATAAGTCGAAGTGAAGAAACGAGCAAAGGCGGAGGAGGTGGAATTGAAGAAAAGAACAAAAGAGGAGGACAAAGAAGATAGGGCGAGAAGAGTAGACGAAAAAGAAGGAAAAAAAAGAAAGAGGTGTTGAAACATCAGCAGCAGCGGAAGATGGAGGGGGAGAAGATGAAGAGAGTAGCTGAGAAAGGTTTAGCCAGAGGAAATAAAGAAAAAGATGACAGAGTAAGAAGGAGGAAGGGGAAAACAGAGAGAGAGAGAGAGAGAGAGAGAGAGAGAGATGGAGAAGATGAGAAGGAAGAGACGAAAATGGAATAATTAGTAAATAAAATTTCAGAGGTCAGACGGTGTCGTTAGGAGTATAGTTGAAGTAGCTTTGCAGGTTATTTAAAGCCAGAAGATAATTTTAAGGATATTTACGAAATAATTTACTGATACAAGTTCTACTAAATAACTCGTAGCTTGTGGGAAGAGCAGGTGGATTCATAACTTCTCGGGGGGTATTCATAACTTCTTGCGGGGGGGGGGTCATAACTTCTCGGGGGGGGGTATTTGACCGGAAGTGAAGTGAATATAACGAACCTGACAGGAACTGGATGTTGGTTCTCCTATTTACATTTGCGAGTCGTTATCCATTACATCACACTCACGTCCAAGCAGTCACCCACCTAGATATTGACCAGGCTCAATGTTGCTCAACTTCGGAGAACCTTCTATCTTGAGTGGCTTAGTTAATAAAAAAAAGAAGAGGAGCAGGACGGTATTACCTTCCGTACTAAGAGCTCTGAAGAAATGAATTATTTCTGATGTGCGTCTAATGGCGAAGGCGGGAAACAGAAGTGGTTAATTCTTAATAATGAAAGATTTAATGAGTAAGACGGAATCATGTCACTCCCAAGACTTATTTTGCTAAATGCGAACAAAACTGCCGAAGCCGGATTTCGAATCAGATTTGCTGGCTCTCTTTTCCGTGTTGACAACCGTTACACCACCACACATTACATAGAAATGCTACTTCAAATAAGGACCGATAAAGAGTAGTGGTTAACAAGCAATTCTCCCGGCCTGTTCACTCGGGTTGTGAGTTCAATACTCATTGGCTGAGCTATGCTAATTTTTTTTTTTGTGTGTGTGTGTGTGTGTGTGTGTGAACGTGTTAAAACGTGCATTCCCAAACTGGGGACACTTGGCTCACCGGGGAGGAATCTCAACTCAAAAAGGCGGTATTTAGCCTGTTCAGTATTTGGTTTCGCGATTTATGTCTTATGTATCAGTCATAAGTTGTAATTGTGAAAATATTACGAGATAACAAATTTAAATCTTGTGAAATAGATAGGATAGCAAGGGAAGCAACGTGTACAAGGGCACTTGTTAGAAAAAAAGCATACGTTTTTATCGCCCTTAACGAAAGACGACTTAGCTGTGTATGGCGATATAATTTTAATGAACAAATACATCGGAAATTGATTGGGTATATATTAAATTTCGCCCAAAACAAGACTCTAAAGCCACTCAAAATAGAGAGGTAACATCATAAAATGATAATGAGGTATATGGTCTGAACGGAGGAGGAGGTGATAGGTAATTAAATTATAATCATAAAAAGGAAATATGAGGATTGAAACCTGACTTGAAGGGGTTGAGATTATCAAGATTGTGAAAAAGTCAGCTGAGTAGTACTTCAAGCTTACATTTAGAACATGGGAGTAATTAGGATGATTTGACTGTATGGCAGTGACATGACGTGTCGTAGCTGTAAAGACATGTACTCATTGAACTAAAGAATAGAGCTCATGCAGCGTTGCAGCTCAGACCAGACACCAGGTTCGTTCTCAGGTTGCTGCTTCTTCCTGCTAAAAGTTTGTGGCTAAAAATTAACCCTTTGGCTAGATCGTCATCCCTGAAATAAAACCATGAAACTATTACAGCAGTAGGCGACTTTTATTCGGTTGTAACCTGCTGCTGTAGAGTGGCTTAGGTGAGGGTGGTTGAATGGGCGTATTTTTCTTTCGTATAGCGCGCGTGTTGTCTCTCGTCACTCTCTGTCCGCTTTGTATTTCTGTATGTTTCTCTCCTCTAGGAGCCACTGTATTGGAAAGACAATCATTATTGTCAGTTTTATCCCAAAAAAAAGGTAATTAATCAAGAACTCAGAGTCTAGCTTCACTCAGTGACCTTCTTTGTCAGAATCATCTAATATGGTTCTTTGGAGGTCCACGCCATTAACTGCATTAAGTTGACCTACTTTGCCAAGATAGATAATTGTCAGAGCGATTTCTGCGACGCGTTGCATGTGGGTCCTTAGCAATATATCAGTTGACACCTGATATCGCTACACTCACCTTTGCCGTGAAATAGCAATAGAGTAGGAATACGATGGGGGCGTGTGGGGAAGTCGTTATCAATTGGAAAATAAGTAATCCCTCAAAACGCAGAATAAATGGTTTTCAACTCAAACAAGTTTGGACAATGAAGATTGAGCAGCGCCAGCAATACTCCATTTTTGTTTAACCTGATTATTGCTTTACCAAAATGAGTTAAAAATAATAGTATTAGTACTATCGTCCGGTTCAAGGCCCTCCCCGATCTTTCGAACAGGTGTAGATGTATATCCCCTGTTTACTGTTTAGGTAAGTTTTTCGGTTCCTTCGAAAGTTTTCTGATTCTCTTTTACCCCGAGTAGCCTCAGGCGTCTTAGTGGTATTATCGTCTTGCTTGGGGTGAATTGATAAAAAAGGGATACTTTCTGGAGTGGTAGGATGAGCCGATTATTAGTCAAGAATTTTAACTGATCAAGATTGAATGTACCATGCGTGATACAGGCTTCAGCAATCATGTCTCGGTTCATGACTGACGAGGCAGAATATTTTCCACCAGCAGCAGTTTGCCGCTACTTTCTACGGTAGACTAGTTGCCAAACGAGCCTATAGGTTCCAGTCTGTTCTGCTATTTCAACCATAACTTGCGGGAGTAGAGAAGAGATGGAAACATAGCTTTCCCAAGGGTATTTGTGCGTAAATGAATGTGACAAGCCCGACTGGAATTCGAACCTGGCTCTCAGACTCCCAATCCAATTACGATATCCATCACACCACAGCATACATATAGGTGTTCCATTTGAGATCTGCAGTGATCTGGGACTAAATTTGTCATATTTGAAAATACATAATATTTACTAAGTAGTTATTTACGAAATATAGTACAAATATATTGGTATCTACGAGCCTAATTATTTATTATCTCTGTATGGCATTGTTTATTGACGAAATAAATACACTCTTGCGCAAGTTAATTGAAACAACTGCTTTGGTTTCCTTTCTTTCACCATACAGTTAGTTTTAGACCCACTGGGATGAAACGGTGTAATGGATTTCTATTTTTTCTCAGATTCGGTTATTTGTAGTGGTGTGTAGTAATATGAATTCATTTTATGGTGAAATTTGTTTGGCCTATATATTTGCGTCATCAGTGATTGTAACAGATTTTTATCACGCCAAGACACTATTGTCTCACCTGTCGATTAGTTGTCTTACTGACATTGTCCGCGATGGACGTTACTCCAAGGAAGCGTACGAAAATTGTAATGCTGCACAAACACACTGACAAGCCTTACCAGTGAGCAAATCAAAGTACTACAGACTGGCCAGGAAACCCTTCTGATTTAAATCCAATCGAGAATCCGTGGTCAATTTGTAAGGAACAACTTTGTGGAATGGATATACGAAATACTAACATGTGCATTGGGTCGTGTTTTATTGGAAAAATACAAAAAATGTAAATAATAACAGAAAGATTTCGTTTTGATTCATTTAATTTACAAAACGGTTTATGTATCTAAAAGTATGACAGAAGGAAATGCAAAGTATAAGTTTCCGATATATAGCACAAGGCCGTGCTATGTATATCCAAGATATGGAAAATGGCCGAAGATATTTATTCAGCTAAGTATAACGGTCAAATTGGCGGCTGATATCAAAAATGACCTTCAGACTGTTGTAAACTGGAGCAAAGGATAGGTTGTTAATTTTAACAAAAATAAATAAATAAATAAAATAAACTCAAACTGCTCTATTAATCAACAGGGTGACCCCTTTCTGCTTGACATTAGCATGGCTGATGCTAACCTCCTGGAGAGCGACACGTTGCACCTTCTCTGGATAACGTTTTCGGCTGACATGAAATGGAAAGACGATATGGAATCGATAGCTAGGTCAGCTACTAAGAAGGCCAGTTCACTGTTTCGTCTCAGACAATTTTTCTTTTCTTATGTATCTATAAATCTACCATTCGTCCATGTTTAGAATATTACTGTTACATATGCCCCGGTGTGCCTGCTAATTATCATCACGCCAAGACACTATTGTGTCGCCTGCATGTCTATCTCAATTTTCATAAGGTGCAATAATGGATCATATACTATATATCTGAACAATTCAACTACAAAAAATAAGTAAAAAATATATCTAAATATAAATTTTGGATATGTAATAACATAATCCCAATTTAAATCAACAATATTTTGCGGTGAATTCTAAAATCAACTTTAAATTTTTCTTGTTAAATAATTTTAATACATTATGGATAAAAGATAGTGAATGTTTTTTTTTTTCGAGAATTACCAATGCCGCAGTTTTGATAGATCCTCTAGAAAATGCTGCTAATTATATTGCCATGCCTCTAAAATTTAATTCATAAGTGAAGCTCAATAAAAATTGTCTCAGGAGAATCAATAAAATATGTGGAATATTTTACATACCTACGAAGCGAAATAAATTCTACTGAAAAGGATGTAAAATTAGGATTCGGACAAAAAAAAAAAAAAAAAAAAAAAAACTCAGAAGGACGTCAAAATGCTCGAAAATTAAAAAAAAAATTTAAAATTAAACTTTTTGGTGCTTACTTTAATTTCTAATGCATAATAATCTAGGTTGCAAAAAAAATCAAATATTGATAAGATTGCGAGGGTCACAAAGCACTGCCCGATGCCCCCAATCAGGCTTTGACCCCGCGGACAGAAGTTCCGGCTCTGGATATAGCATAAGAAAATTGGAAATTAACAAGGGAAATAAGTTTTTAAGATATAGCCCAACGGTACCCTCATTTTTTAAGCTTAGTAGCAAGGATATAAGAAAAAAAAA